CCAAATTTTGGCTGCTTTCTTCAAGTGACCATTGAGATTGTTGTCACAAATCAAAATCTTGACGATAGAAGCCAAGGAAAAGGTCTCAACTTGCACTGGATTCCACAACACTAGACAACTTCGGTTGACTATCAAGCAAAGAACTCAGTTTTATTTTACAGTTTCAAAGTCAGTTGGTTAAACAACTGACGGCAAAGAACCTACAATAATGACCAAAAGCTACAACCGAAAGTTACTTTATACTTAAGGCTGGTTTAAACCAGCAGCAAGCTAATCATAAGTACTTTTTGTTACCTAATTTACAAGCATAATTCATAACACTTGACCTGCGCCATTCTAAAGCAGCTCTGTGACTGGTCTGCTATGAGCACCTCTGTTTCGAATGTTTGCTCCTTCCTCAGAGCGGAGGGCAAGCGCCCGAAACCTGGGGGGATATACCTTTATGGGCCCTGCTCCAAACATCAGCTTTTAAAGGTTCTTCTCGGTGGTGACTTGATTTTATAGACTCAATGGATGAAACTTTTTTGTGTGATTTGGTCTCTCTCACCGATGCAGCACCACAGATTGTGTTGAAACTATAAATTCCTTCAACCACATTATCATTTTAAACTGAACCAACGAATCACAGAGATGCACATTTTCATGCGTGTTTTATGAGGAAAAAACATACCTTTGAACTCGATAACCAACCAAAGGGCCGCTTTGGATTTGTGCAGGGCATCGCCTGAATGCATTTTCTTAGTCATTTGGTATAAAATAAAAAGGCAAAGCACTGTTTATATAAGCCGTTCACAAAAGTGTTGATGCACACAGCAGTCTGCGCTAGGCTCGTGCGTGATTTAATGCCTGTTGCCGAAATGAAGGAATGTTCATGTCTCCCCGAATTGCTGAAGTCCCTTATTAAACTCTCCACCTGGCGGACATTTGCGTGTGTACCGACTCTTGCAAAACATACAGTAATACTATAGGCCACTTCCGAGTTCCAAAAACCCTCACTTTCAAAATGAGGCCAAGTGCACAACTTTTCTTGTGAAAATGGGTGTTATTTGCATAAATCATTTCCATATCAAAGGCTGAGCACTTAACCTCATTTTATACAGAGGCCCAGTAACTCAGAAATTAAATGGCCTATTGCGAACCACAAACCTTGAATTACCTTTATTAAAATGCCTACACAATTTCCTATTACATTATGCAATATACGTAGCTAAGAAATATTGTATAGTAACGAACAAGTTTCAAAGTGTCGAAGCTTCAACTCTTAGGCTCAGTGGGGGAGCAACATTCCATTTTGTTCTTTGCTTTTTTCCATTCTAATTTTTCTCAGACAGGAACTGAGCCTAAAAGCTGAAGCAAAAGACACTGCAAATTCCAACTATAAAATGGAAACAAAATTTATCGTAGTGCTAGTTGTACATCACAACCGGCCGTGAGGCTTACTTGTTGACTATTTACATACCTTATTTATTCGAATAAGCGCCCAACCTCTAATTAGCGCCCGCCTCGAATGAGCGCCAATCCTAAAGGCAGAAAAAGTTATTAAATGCCCAACCTGGAATAAGCGCCCACCACCTAACATCCATCCAGCAAGCTGTATTTGCTTCTTGGGCACCTAACAAATTTGCCGGCTTTACGATGTCGGACATCCAGGAGGCAGCACCAGAGAATTCACTGACTGACTTCCCTAAAGACGGAGTTTTCTTCAGAGTAGTTTACAGAAACCTTGCTTTCATGTTGTTTTGTTGCAAAACAAACATTACTACAGTTGCTGAAAATGGTGAAAATTCAATAAACGCCCACTCTCAAGGTCCAAAAATTTAACAAGCTCTCAGGGCGGTTAATCGAACAAATACGGTACATCTTTTTTATATTTGGGTCAAGATGACGAGATTGAATGGGGACCCTCCATACAAGAACGCCTAATTTTGAGCTGAGACTGAGCCAAGACTGAACTTGCTATTTTTGAGGCGATTTGAGCCTCAAAACGTTCTTAGATGTTTTTAAATTACATTTTGAAAACATTGTATGGACGACTTTTAATTTCCTCGTATTTTGAGAGGCTAATAGTGACCTCAGGAGAGGCAACAGTGCACACAATGTTCAGCCAAACACGTACAGCAGTCTTTACAGCAATTTTTCTATATTCCTTACGTTGAAATTGGTGGAATCGACAATGTTTTAGACTGAATTTCAGCCTTGGCTTTGCTCTGTTCTTAGGATATTCTTCAAAAGGTTTCTGTAAAACAGGAGTAAGCGTGGCTTAGCACCAGGACGCCGAGGACTGATCAGGAATGTAATTAGTTTAGCCAGGAATTAACGCAGGATCAGTTCATGAGCTTTCGCCCTGCTCTTTACTACTAATTTCTATATCAAACGCACAAATTTCCCTCACTTTTTAGTTCGCAGAAGTACCTAGGATTCTTTTCCTAAAAAAGCGAGCTGCAGAATAAAACGCCACTGGAATAAAGCATGCTGTGCAGTCTCTAACGTCCTGTAAATCTATCCACGCTGCCTCGTTAAGCCTTGAGACTTCAGGGTCCTAACACTAGAAGTGATATACAATTAAGCTGTTTACAGTTGCTTTTTCTATCCTTGGTTTTCTCTTGTTCGAACACCGTGTTCTCACGTCAACTTAAATATGACCTGAATTTTCATATTTCAGTTAAAGGCGATGTGACATTAAAATGCCGACTAACGAAATTTACTTTTCTGGTAAAAACCATCGGCTAACAAAGAGAATTAAACTAATGAGTGTCATCAGTCAACTAACATGCTGTAAGGTTGGAAAAGTATTTTTCTATAAAGCTGAGAAAACAGCCGATGTTTCGCGGGGCCATTGATGGTTTCCCCACGTATTTTATGGTGTTCAAGAACCTTGCTTAACCTTACTTAACCCGTTAAGCCCCAATATCCACATACAAATTCTCCAAACTGATCTCTATATATTTCCTTAAAGAATGAGTTAAGAGAATTTGACAAAAGATCAAAGCATTTTCTGTTAGGTGATTATTTTATTAATTCTCATAACCTAGTCTCTTGACAATGTAGGGATATCATTGGGAGAAAATTGATGTTGGTCACTATTGGGACTTAAAGGGTTCAGGTAAGTGGTTGTTTGCCTCTAGGAAAATCAAAATAAACCCAGTGGCGGATCCAGAGAGAGGGGACTTAATGACTTAAAATTAACGAAATCTGGACAAAAGTATTTTATCACTTAACTCAAGAGACGAATGCTTCAAAGCTGGGCACTGCACGGTTAGAATATCACGTATCATGGCAGCAAGGTTCTTCGCAGTAGAAAGGAATGTGTAACGGTTTGGAATGATGTACTAACGAAGAAAGTTATTAGGGAGCTTAAGCAACTACGACGACGACCACAACGACGACTTCAAAAAAACAATAGGTTTAATGATCAAAACAACAGCTCTGCACGTGCATCACGCTTTTTAGCTCATTTCTTTGATGTCCACTACGTGACTTCGACGTGAAACCTCCTAATTTGCCGTGTTATGGAGGACGTGAACATACGACGACGAATTTTCCTTCCTCTTTTTGAACCTGAATAAAATCCTTAAGAATTCAACTCCAGGAAAATTCGCCTGCATTTGACATATTGAGCGGGTCCAAATAGACGCGATTAAGTTTGAAAGAACGCAAATTCATTTTTTTCACCGACGTTTTTACTGCCGTCGTCGTCGTCCTTGCTTAAAGTCCCTATTGGCTTCACCAGTGTGTACAAGTTGGATTCCCGTTATTAAAATTTTCTGGATCCGCCCATGAAATCAATCATAGAGTGGTGAGTGCATCCTTTTCCACTTTGCACTCGTTGCGCGCGTTCAGAAAAAATTGTAAGTTTTTGATGTGTTCCTCCTTAGAGCTTTTTGAGTTCTTTGTGCCCGCCGTGATAACATAACAGATACAAGAGAGAACTGAATGAAAAATGCTGACATTTTTAAAATCCCTTATATATTTGCGAGTGATATAACTCAGGGGCACTTAACGACTGTTTTAGGTAAAATATCTGTACGGAGAAGCAAATATTGACAAGAATTTTCTATTTCTTGATGATGGCTAAAAATTTCTAAATGACCGTTCCATTCATGTACAATTTTCGAAACTTATCTCATTAATTCCCTACGATTTTCTGACGTTAGTTCAAGTTTCATATTTTACTTCCCAAGTTACAAGTTAGGCTATTTTTCGTAGAAAAAAGGAAACCTAAAATTTTCGGATTCAAAAATGTGATGGAGAGAGGAATTAGCAAATGTCTCACTTTCGTAATACGTCGAATTTTATCTAAAATTTTCGGGAAAATAATACTCAAGCCCTTCGTGTAATTTCGAAAATACTCAAGTTTCCCTAGGATGACCGAACAGATACAAATTTTACAGCGCCACTTAAAATGCCTCTAAACGGTAATCTGGATAGCCTAAACGTGTTTTTAATGTATTTAGGAGGAAACTGTCGTTGGGTGCCCCAGATAACTGTCTACTGAAAGGCGGACCAATACCCAGGTATATGAAAGATACTGGAATGTTCGATAAGATATCAACAGTGGCATTCTCAAGTATCGATACGTACTCTTCAGGCAAATCTGGTTTGGTATCGGTACACCTTTCAAAATTGCTTTTACCTTTTATTTCATAGCTGGCGAATCATAGTGCTAATAAAAAAAACACACTCTCATTGCTTCAATGAGGCTTTTCCGTCACCGTTATCTGATAATAGTAAGCTGCAGCTATGTTTCTATTGAAGTGTTATCTATGCTGGTTGTTAACTGTCTAACCTACCCACAGAGACCCTAAAGTGAAAGAAGAAGGCTTGCTCCCCAGCGGAGCGGACGGATAAGTGCGCGAGGGATGATGGGAAGTAAAGAAGAGGAAAAACTGGATCGAAGGATGCGAAGGGGCTCATATTGCGTGACATTAAAGTCATATCGTCATAAACAAACAAACAACAACAACGAAAAGCACAAAGTCAAAAGCTCAGGATACAGTTCTTTAAGTGGTAGTTTCATAGAATACTTCGATATCTGTTGGTGTGAAGTAGAAGCTTCCAGCATAGAATTTACAGTTAAAACCAGATAAAGAATACCCTGGGGGGAGGGGGTATCTCCTGCCACAATAAGTAACAGAATCCTGCTTACTAGCAGCGTTGTTTGATATGTAAATATCACTCCAGCCAAATGTTGGTCCTTTTAAATCACACCTGTATACAGCTTCATCGTACTTATCTGACTTGACTGGCAGCTTAACAGGATTGTACACAGCGTGTCCAGAACCTTTGTTATTGGTCAGTGAGTAGATAAAGGCTTTACTTGAAGATCCAAACTGACAACCATCGACTGTGAAATAATGACGACATTTTTTACAATTCTTACTGACCTTACTAAAGGCGCTCATAAAAAATTAACTTTTAGGAATATTCAATGATCCGGACTTCAGTTTAAAATAGTGAATGCAAGTCCGGCTTGACATACAAACATCCCTAGACAATCCATGCATTACTGTATTTTTAAAATTTGCTGTATTTGTATAAATTTTTCAATGTTCCTAAAATGTGTCATGAGCCACACATCCATTTGTTGTCTTGCTGAGTACAGTAATGACACTGTAGTAACTTTGAAATTAGTGGAGGAGGAGAAAATTATTGTAGAAAATTAGGCAGTTTTAGAAGTGTAACAAACTTCCATGATGAGCAGAAAGGGAGCTCTCCCTAAACTGGAATCCCTAAGTGTTGGTAGAAAAGAGCAGGGTTTTTGTCCCGAAAAGAGATTTATGCAAACTAGAATGGTAACTGAATTCAGATCTATCAAATCATGACAGAGCCTGAAACCTACTTGAAGTCCATAAAATACAAATGACAGATGGTATCACACATGTATCTGATACATTTTTTTTCAACCTCTCTATGGCTGAACCACTTGATTCTGTGTTTCATTTAGCTTAATTTTGGTCATGAATGTTCATGGATGTGACTACAACATTAGCTTTTTACAATGGAAAATTTTTCCTTTTTATCCGTCTGATTACTGTGAACCGGGGGGTAGTTCTTAAGCGACACTTTGCGTCATTAAAAAGAGTCCGCAGTACATAGTTAGAGAACTTTAAAGATAATTCAGTAAAATTAGGCTGGCACCAGAGGCGTCCTCTCCTGTGGAGTGGCCCCTTAATGGGTTTTGTAAGGAGAGGGCGAAACCAAATTTTGCAAGATTTTGTTTATTGATGTTGTGATTTAAACCTCAAATCAACGATAAAAAAGTAACTTGACGTTTCGATGGTTTCATGTCATCATTAACAAAAGATATGAAATTAACATGATTCGTGGAAGTATTTACTCTCTTTGATAACGATGACATGAAGACAAGCTTCTTTTTTATCATTGACTTTTGTTTTAAAATGTATTTCAAAATCGATTCTTATAAGATTTAAACCTGACCGGATAATTTAATTTAGTATATACTAAAACAGTGGATGGTGTTTTTCGCGCGCTCTGATTGGCTACTCAATCAGTGAATATCCTGCACTATTCACTGATTCAGCTCCAGTTCCTCCGTGCGTGCGACGCCAACCTCGCGTAAGTTGCGAGCAAAATGCCTTCCCGGCCTGCTGCCGTAAACAAACAAAGAAATTTCACAACTAGTCAAGCAAGCTGTTTCCGAAATACACGAAGGTGACGAAGTTCGGATTGGAAGTTTTAACAGGTAAAGCTGTGTCTTTTTGACACGAATTTATCGATATTACCGGTGAAAAAGTTTTTTGTTTACAAATGCAAATTAAGTTTAAGTCTTGCGTTACTTTATTTAGTTGACTTGTTCATAAATAAGCTTAAAACTAAATTTAATAATCTTTCTTTATAGAATGATTTTAAATATAAAAAGAATTCACAACACAACTCCTTTTGAAGAAATTTCCCCGCAAGAGCTAAACAAATGCCTTCAAAAGTTTTAATTGTCGACAAGAAAAAGCGACAGCCGCGGCCGCCCGGTCATTACGCGCCAAAATTGTAATCGTTGGCAACAGTATTTGAGTTAAAAATCATCATTTTTGTGCTCAATTATCTCACTGTTTTAGTATATACTAAAACAATTATTCACCTCAGTGTCGGTGGCTAGTCGTGGATAGCCACCTCCACTTCGGTGAATAATTGTTATTTAAATGGTGAATTAGAGAAAAACCATCTTCTGGTAGTTGTATCAAGTGACGTCATCATGAAAATGACCAATTCTGATTGCTAAGGAATTACTTTCTCGCCTTGAGTTGTACGTAAGCAGAAAAACATCCCTCCCTTTTTTAACAGTACATGTACTCAAGCCAAAAGCCGCTGTACCACTTTATCGTTCTTCATTGTTAGCAAACCAAAAAAAAACAAGTCCTAATTCTCCTGGTACATGTACTCACCAGGAACTTTCCATGATACGCCACTGTATCCACCAAATATAAAACTGCCGACTTGAATGATAGTTACAGTAGGTCCCTTGTCATCACAGTTGCCGTGGAACGTAGACGCCGCCCAGCCGTCCTCTTTAGCGTGCCAACACCTCACAAACCTACTACGGACTGAGCTATTGATCACGGGCTCTAAAAACAACTTCAAATTCTCCAAGTACCTACTGTCGTTGCCAAGAATACTTGATGCACTAAGACCACCTTAAAAAAGAAATCTTGAAATATAGTGCTTGATGGGACAATTTTATCAGTGAAACAGACTGGCGATTTAAAATTTTCACGTGAGTCGAAGATCGCTTTACAAATTAGCTGACGAACTGTGCATGTGAGTGAATCCGGATACGTGTGGACGGGCAAATTCGATTTGAATACGGATACGTGTGGACGTGCAAATTTTTGAATCCGCAAAGAAAAATTTGCGGATTCAAAAATACCCGGATACGTCTGGACGGGGGCTAAAGGTACGATCGCATTGCCATTTCAATAAAGTTTGACAACGTCACTCGTGCAACAATGGCAAGCAAAATTGCCAAAAAGTGTGCTGCACGTTCAGGTATTTTTTTCTGTTTATCAGTCAAACCTGTTGTATGCTTCAGCTTTTTTTTATTTTCACGTTACATTGCCGTCATTGTGGTTGTTCGAGCTCCCTAGTAGCGTTACCATGCAAAACAACTATTGATATGCGACGATTTCGTTGAAAAGCCGACGATTTGATGGGAAAAGGGCGACGAAAACGACGTCCGCAGTTACTCGCCAATAGAGAGGCTCGTATATGAAAACAGTTAAATTTATTATCACGAATGCTTGCGACAATTCTTACTAAATACTGCGGCTCATTTGCTTTCAAGAATCCTCCAACTGAACTTGAGCTCTGCGTTTAGGTTCCTCACTTCTTTTGCATATATGCAGTCACTAATCCAAAACTGCTCTACCGTTAGAAAGCGCGCCTGTAATCTTTCCCGGGTATATTACGAACCAACAGTTGCTCTAAGCCTCTATTTCCAAGCGAGGCTAAGTGTGATATGAAAATGATTTTTTATTCTCATGCAAATAAAAGTCATTTTCACAAGAAAGATTTTGCACTCAACCCTGCTTCCCTAAGATCGCTGAGATCGAGCGCTTAGTGCTGTAGCAGGTGACCATCTTGGTTTTTTAAGCCGTGTAAGTGTAATTAGGGAAAGAGTATCAAAGGGAGTACTACCAAAGGGAGCTATAAGCCCCGACTCTATAAAGGCGTGTCAATAAGAATGACCGAGACTACGTTTTATGAGCCCGCGAGACTGAGCTTTCCACCTAAACCCTTGTTTTTACTAAAACCACTGGACGCCACAACTTTGGGTCAATTTAATAAAACTCATAGCTATTGTTTTAGAGTCTGAGAACAAAAGCTACACTTGTAAATTACACGAGTAAAAGTTTTATTAAATTGACCCCAGCGCTGGTTGAGGTCATTGTTATCCAAGGTCTTCCCAAATTTTTACTTTCACAAATGCTCCCATTGCCTGTGTAGCCAGGCCTGCACGTGCAGTTGTAAGAACTAGCTGTGTTTGTACAATTCGCATTTTTGTGACAATCATGGCTTCCCTTTTCGCATTCATTGATGTCTGAGTAAGGAAACGAAAAAAACAAGAAATGAATATAAATTAAGTCTTATTATGACATTTATCAGCAAGTTTTACCTTTACAAATGCTCCCATTGCCTTGGTAGCCAGGCCTGCACGTGCAGTTGTAAGAGCCAGGAATGTTGGTACAGTTGGCATTTATGTGACAGTCGTGGCTTCCATCCTTGCATTCATCAATTTCTGGAGGGAGTAGAAATTTAAATATTAATTTACAAAGAAGACTAAACTACTTGCAGAAAAATGAAGTGAAGGCTTGGATAGCTAATTATACCATTACAAATGCTCCCATTTCCTGTGTAGCCAGGCCTACACGTGCAGTTATATGAGCCAGGAATGTTGGTACAGTTCGCATTTACGTCACACTGATGAGTTTTATCCTTGCATTCGTCCAGGTCTACTCCGGTGAATTGAGGAATTAGGCACTGCAAATTTGGAGGGGGGGTGGTCTGTTTTAGTAGGGATTTTACCTTTCGCATTAATATTTTAAATTCAATATCTACTCCCCACAAGCATTCATTTTTCACTATTACTAATGTATTATCTGTGTCACGTGACTTGTCACACCCATTTTTGACTTTTTATTTCAATCCAAATTTACACCACTTTATAAATAACACTTGTAATTTAATTCACTTTTTGTCCATGACTATTGACACAAAGTTTATGGAATTAATCGGGGTTTTCTTAAATTATCTACGTTTTGTAAACTATAACGTTTCTTGTTAAGAGAGAGACTGGGACGAGAGAAAAATATCTGATAATTACGAAGGAATGGATCATTTCACAAATCCCCGATTAATTTAGCTTATTTGACTGTAAAATGAAATATTATGGAAGGAAAAACGATTGTGGTCACATTCAGTAAACTGGTGTAATCTGCAAAGTCGAAATTTTGTATAATTATGGGCGCGGCTGGTCACGTGATCTAAAAAAAGAGCGTTTAAGGTCCAAAGTGGTTCTGGTCTTAAACACAGCGGTCTAAGATTAAAATAAAGGAGGATACTGGAAAAAACAAGATCAAGTCATAAAACTCCGCATGTAACGAGGACCCATTCCTTAATTCACCGGAGTAAAAAAAAGAAAAGAAAACAATACAAGCAACCAACCTCGTACATCGTTTATAAACCTAGACATTCAACGCAAGAAAATTATCAATTTTTTAGCATCCTGATTTCTTCAGGGAAGACTGATTGTTTCACTCATTCAGAGAAGAGCAAGAATAAATCCCGGGGGGTACCCCCTGTAATGGCTTATACGGGGAAGCTTCGCCCAAATTGCAAAAGGGGTACCTTTTCCAGACTTCAGGTGGATGAAAGGGTTAGGATTTCAATAGTTGAAGTATGTGAGAGGGTGGAGAAATCTGTGTCATTTCGGTCTGTAAAAAGACCTAAAAGGGCTAACAGAAGGATTTTATGGCTGTGAAAAAGTCGAGAAAATTTCCTGGGCAGTTTTCTGATTTATTCACAGTTTAAAGACAGTACATTTAGAGCAGATAAAAGTAATGAAAAGTTCTAAACTTGGTATTTGAAAGAGGTACCATTTGTCCGTTAAAGGTACTGTGTAAGGAACGCCAGGGGTACCTTTTCTCTCAAAAGAAATATATAGAAAGGTAAGGAGCTGGACCTCAAAGCGGAGCTTCGCAAGATAAAACTTTGCTAAGGATTTTATGGCTGTCAAAAAGTCGAGAAAATTTCCTGGTCAGTTTTGTGATTTATTCACAGTTTAAAGACAGTATATTTACAGCAGCTAAAAGAAATGATAAAGTTCCAAACGAGGTATTTGAAAGAGGTACCATTTGTCAGTGGAAGGTACTGGGTAAGGGAGGGGTACCTTTTCTCTCAAAAAATATTATATAGAAGGGTAAGGAGCTGGCCCTCAAGGTAACCTGAGACCAGGCTCAATTTTAGCGGTTCTCATACATTCTCTCTAACGGCTACCGCTTTTTGTTTCGCCTTGCCCGCCAGAATGTTATTTTCAAAGCGAAACGAAAATAGAACCTGATCTCAGGTTAACCTCAAGGCGGAGCTTTCCAGGATAAAACTTTGCTGCGGACCCACGCCTCCCGGGGGGGGGGGGGGCACAGATGTTTTCTAACCCCGACAACGTTGATTATTTCTTATTAAGCAACATTCACTTGTTCTGTATTTCTGGGTAGGATACACTTTCGTTTTTCTAACCACCTGGCAGGATCTCGAAGCAACGGGCCACGGTAAGTTTCTAGTTTACTAGCTGGCGATTCCGTGTATGAAAGACGTAGACGTAGACGTTTTAACAGTTTGTTTCTGTAAAAAAGTATTCTTTGTGGCGCACACAATCGAAAACATGACTGAATATGTCTGCGTTTGATGGCCACATAATCACCTGTTTCGCAGAGTTTTCCCGTGTAACCAGACTGGCATTCGCAAAGGAACTTCTTGTCCGTATATCCAAGAAAACACTTTCCATTGTTCAAGCAAGGTTTGTACACACAAATATTCTAGTGAAAAAAGAGCGTAATTTAGACTTAATGACATTTTACTATTATATTATATTGTAGACTTCGAGCAGTTCCCTTTTCAGTCTGTCAAATCGAGGCTTGACAGAGCTCGAGAGAGCGAACCAGCCGAGAAGGGAACTGGAGCAAAAAGCCCGACTGTTTTGCAGTCTAGGTACGTAATTAAGCCTCTGGCTATTTCCGACGATATCGAAGTCACGACGATCGCCGCTGTTGAAGAGACGATCATAGAGATTAACCCTTTCACTGCCAGAGTGAATAAAAGAGTTTTGTAAGGTGGTCCTAACTTTTGAGTCTGTGGATGAAAACCTGTGGTATGACCATTCAAAAGAAACCTTTCTAACTGTACTTTTACATGGTACTATTTGTTTTTCAAAATTTTAAAATAAAATTTGGAAATTTTTGTTGAATTTCGCTCTTGGCCACGTTTGGCAGTGAAAGGGTTAAAGCGACAATTGCATTGCCATTTCATTCAAGTTTGACAACGTTAGTCGTGCAATGATGAAAAAAATCTGCCGAAAAGTGTACGGCACGTTCAAGTTTTTGCTTTGTTTATATTATTAAACCTGTTTCTCTTTTTATTTTTCTCGTTTCCTTTGTCGTTTTGCTTGCGCTGAGCTCGTTAAGTAGCGTCACTACGGAAAACAATTCTTGATATGCGACCATTTTGCCTGAAAAACTCAAAAAACCGACGCTTTAATGGAAAACGGGAGATGAAATCGATCCTTGTTTTTCTTTCTTTCGCTTGCTTCTCTTTTTCTTTCTCTCCTTTTGACTACAGATTTCCTTTACTTTTATACTATCAGATTATGTAGGCTTTCCATCATTAACATATGCAATTGCCTCTAAAGGCAGAAATTAATTATAAAGGAAAACCAATGCAAACTGCTGATTCAGCTGATATCGGAAAGATAAACTGTTGACATATAAAAATAT